CAATTATTATAAGGAAAATTTAAAATTTATATTATAATAAATTAAAATTTGTTTTTGATTCAACTAACTTAAATTTGTTAGACAAAATAACTTGTACGGCCTTAATAATATCATCGCCCAAAAATATGTAGTTTCTTAGAGAAAGTTTATTTAGAAAGTTAATTAGTATTCTACATTTGAGTATAGGCAATCAAGCAAATTACTACATAATTAATAAATAATAAATGAGAATTGGTTTGGGCATAACAATTAATATTAATATTTGTGTGGTTTGGCATGGCGCGGTTACTGCAATCAATCACGCAACATGATTGAGAGTACGCATCGTCCGCTGCTACTAGATTAAGGATGGGTGATCACCCAGCATTTTAGTGACAAAACTTGCCACACATACATGTGTTGCCAACCTAACGTACTAACCCCCACGACCCACAGTTAAAAACCTACTTAGAATAAAACCACACAATGGCATATGTTGCCACGAGTTAATTAATAATAATAAAATAATATTAATATTTTTCTCCAACTATATTTATTATATAATATATATCTAGTTAAAAAATAAAGTGTTAAGTTTTTGAGCGCTAAGGTAATCTAAAGTCTTATATATTTCTTATAGTTTGTTTTATAGAATAATAATTGTTGATTTGCGTTTCTATGGCAATAAAAAACTAACAAGGATTACCAAAAATGGATTAGAAAAAAAAAGTTGTAACTAGCAGACCAAAAAACATGTTAAAATTCTTTGATCTCCGATTGAGGTTTTATATAGCAAAATGTATCTTGTAAATAGGTACTACTGAGAAGATCAAAATTTAAAATTATCGGTAAATTTTAAAATAATCCAGAAAAACTGAAAAACTAAAAAAAAATCCCAATATTCATTAAAATAGTTGTTTAGTAACCTAGCTAACCAAAAAGTTAGATTGTTTTCACTCAGAATCAATGATTCATTGTATACAGTGATTTATCAATTTCCAAATTTAACATATCTTGCATTCTACTCCACTTGCCTTACATTCAGAGCAGAATGATTATTATTTTTTTTATTAAAGAAATAACCCTCGGCAACTTGGCCATTGGGATAGGATACATTTTTTTTTTTAAAAGTTTTTACATAATGATGATAATTGATTTTACAATAATGTGAGTTTTAATTTTATCGTGTCCGTTACACATGAAACAGTAGTAAAAAATTGCGTTAATTTTCATCAGTGAATGTTGTTTTAGATGGAAAATCAGAATTTCTAAGAACATTTTTCTAAGTTTTTCTTTAAATGTCAGTTATAAAGTTTGAAAATGTAATACAAGTTTCTCCATGAGTTGTTCATATAATTATATCATGCATAAATTATCTAAAATGCATAATTTCAACAATTTTGATGAGCATAAACGTTAGATTGTTTGAAAAAATCCATTCCAAAGGCTAAAAAAAGTAAATTATTTTGTAGTTAGAAATTCAAGTTATTTTTTATYTAAGACTTAGAAGATTTAATGCTAAAATTCTCATAATATTTTTTTAGTTAAACAAAAAAGAAAAGTTTTCTGGAAAATTACATTAATTTTTTTATGAGTGTTTAAACTTTTGAAGTTTAAATGTTTTTAACATTAGATATTTACCTGTAAATTAACCTTTGCTCCAAAGTATTTTTGTTTTTTTTGAAATTTACTTTTTATATATTTGTGCCCATAGAATAATCTTGTATTTGCTACCTTTAAATTTGTACCTGTGTACATGTTACATAAAGTCAACTTGTACACCGTCGAATTGCGAAAATTTTCGAATTTTTTTGTACAACTTCTTCTTATTTTATATCGTATTTTCTAAATTTCATATTGATCCGTAAATTAATTATTTAGATCTCTTCAGTAAATTATTGATTTATTTTATCATTCTATATACACAATATAATTTATCAAAATATTTTTATTCAGTTTTAGTAGCTATAGATGATGGAAATTTTAAATTTTTTTCCAAGCATGACATTAAAAAAATGTGAAACATTTTGTGACATTAAAAAAAGCTTGAAAATTCAATCATTACATGCATTATTATTATTTGCTTTTTATTAAGCAACTATTAAACTGAATTAAAATGTTTATACAATTCATCAAAAAGTTTCTATAATATTGTTTAGTTAAAATATTCAGTTTTACAGCTAAGGATTGAAAGCTTAAAACAAGAATTCTCATTAGTAGTAAGTTCATATCATTAACATTTAACAAAAAATTGTAATCAAAAAATTTTAACTATGCGTGGGTAAGTACTTCAAACTTCTAAAGTACATTATAGTATTTTATACATACAGCATATTATATAATTCTATATAATTTTAAACATATATAATTGTAAAATCTTAAATCCGCTCACAATTTTTAACAATATAATATGATATATTGATGATTACAATCTTGTAACAAGATTTTATTAAATACATTTTGTGAAAATGTGGCATACAAGTTGAATAAAAACAAATAAAGGCGTTAATACATTATACTGTTATAGTTTATACTAAACAAATGAGAAATTAWAGTATTCATAGCAATGATATTCAATTATGTACTAATAAATATTAAATTATGTAATACAAATATCAAAGTTGTTGAAGTTCAATCAAACCACAATAGATATACAATAGATTTTCTTCAAGTTTATTAATATTTTTAAATATTATTTTAAAACGGGGTGTTTTAGATTTCTGAACATACTTTTTTGAATACCTTATACCCTTATACCTTAAAATTACCAGTACATAGTTTCGGTTGTAAATATGTCTTTTCTTGTATTTTTAATATTATTAGAATTCATAAATCAAAACAATAAAATAGAAATATGCTTAACTAGAGTCTGTTTATATAAATATTTTCTTAATTAAGTTGAACAATAAAATGATTTAATAACGATTCTATTTGAAGTAAATTTACTAATATCAAAAATATCAATAAATGAATATTTAACATAGATTTATACAAGGCTATCGCATAGATGAATTTTTTTATTTAACTATTTAAATATTTTTAATTATATCTACCTATTTGTTTTCAAAAAATGTATATTAATAATTTTAGAATGCATCATTGAAAAATTAACCGTATTTAGTAAAAAATTATAAGTTGTTTTTTTTAGTTAGATATTTTTACAATTTATAAAAAATTAAATTGCTTTTTTTAGATTGGTACAATTACATGTTACAGTCAGTATACTAATATAAATTTTGATTTATACTGATAGTTAAATCATATTATATGTTAAACTTAAGTTTGAAGATTTATGAATATGAATACCTTCTTCTAAAGTCAAAAATCTATGTAAATTTTTCAAAAATACAGATTATATATTATATATAATATTATACTAACACATAAAACACAAAATATTTATGAATGTATAGCAATATCTTATAATTAAGGATAATTTTTCAAAAAAATATGCTTGGACAATTATTGTTTCTAATATCATTTGCTTATGTTATATTTGATGTAAAATCATCGTTTCTGGTTTTACTCAGAATATATAATTTGAAAAAGCAAATTTGTTAAAACTTGGTGAGAATTTCAATTGAAAATAAATTCAACTCAAAKTTCATAATTTCTTAGTTGTTCTAACAGTAATAAAAAAAATTAAATTTATAGACATTGAAGTTTTTACTTTGACAAAATTACATATTTAAACGAAAAATAACCTTTTTTTCATCATTTTAAATTACACATATTACTATACCATTATGGTGGTGACATCAYGATATTCAATTCGATTATAATTTAATAATATATAAAATACACAATAATCATACAATTATTTGATATTCTTTTCGTAGTGGTTTAACTCACGTTTCTATACATCATATAAAGTCAATCACATGTTTTTATAATCAATTAAATTATAAATAAATACATAAATACAAAAATAATAGTTGCATATTTAACTAAACATATATTTAAATATAATCTAATAAAATATCATTCAATAATACACAAACGTATAAATCGAAAACTATTATCTAAGTTCAAATACAAACATACAATTATTTATACTTATAAGTTTTTTACATCATAAACTTTATGTAAATATAAAATCAAATAATTATTTATAAGTAGTTATTATTAAAAAATTATTATTATGTATCACTATATCATTCGACATCTTTTAAGAAACATTCGAATGGGCACATCTTTATTATTTTTCAAACGTCAATTTTTGCTAAAAATATGATGACAGGAAGTATGGTGGTATGCCTTGTACTTTTTTTTAAATTATAGTTAAAGTTTTGATGTTTCCATCAAATTTTTATTCGAATAGGTAAACAATATTTTGTTTGAGGGTTATAAATTTTAATAAGTTCCATATTTTTGTCAATAATCATGTAACAGTATTTTCCTCTGTACTCTAATTGAAATGTTTGGTTAACAATTAATATAATTATCAACTATAATTATGAAAAAGTTTAATTGTCGTTTCCATCGACTCGGTAGACGCGTGGTAAATGACAAGCGTGCGGTAGACCGCATAAGACAAGAATACCAATTGTGTTTATTTGGAAGTGTAAAGTATACAGATACGAATTAAGGATAATTTTATTGAAAACTTTAAATGTTGTACCATATATAGGTACCTATAACCAACTCCTTTCACCAATGATAATATTAATATGCAGGCAAATATTTATCATTATCACTGTTGATGTTTATTTGTTTAACATATCACACGTCATATTGTGTTATATTTGTCTTACAAACGAGTAACGTCTAAATTTATGTTCATCAKAACCAATTTTGTGTTTTTATGTTTAAAGTTTCGTACTGTTTAAATTCACTTAAGTTTTAATACGAGTTATGATAATTTTAAAATTGTAACATTTGTTATATTAAACTTTTGTAAAACAGAAACACTTGGTCAAGATGTTTTCTTAAAATTATACTTTGTAATATAATATAAAATAATATATACAATATACATATAATCTATACTGAATATTTTTTTTAATTGATCGACTTAACAACGCAAGTGTTACATGTTTAAATCAACACATGTTCGATATATATTTTTAAGTTGCAGTTAATATTATAAGCACCAAATAATTAATAATATTTTCAAATTTACTCGCAAGTTGAGTAATTTATTTTAACCAAACGTGATTCAGTCGATTCAGATGGTCAGTAATTTTTATATATTATCAAGAAACGATTTTGTGTTATGATAAATAATATAATAATAATTACAAACATTTTAACGGATAATCAAGTAATTTAAGATTCTGCGTTTATACATTTGCAGCATCAGTTGTTATCATCGAATAATCAGATTTCAAGAGATGGCGATGTCCTCGTTTTGCTCATGACGTACCACGCAGATGGCAGCACCCAATGATATTGCTGGTTTATTGGTTTCTGAAAATTAAATTAATAAATTTAATATTTTGTTTATTTTTCGACTGTCCGTTTTAAAGTACTACTAAAGTCGGCGGGCGAGACCGTAGAAAAATATAGGATTATTGATCTTTTGTTTCATTTAGTAAAGGTTAGGTGCCTGATACTTTGTATGTTTCACTCTGTTGAAAAACGGAAAATACAAAATATACGAATCGAAACTCGGTTCATAAAAAAATATATATAACCCGTAACAGCTACCCATGACCCAAATGGTCGTTATAGTTATCATATCATAATGTTATTGTTATGAATATCTACACTTGGTGTTACCGACCGAGTTTTATATTGGATTTTATATTCGAATTAATAAATTATTATTTTATGATCACAATTTCAAAATGATTGACGTTTTGACAGCGATGAACTGTGGCAAATACAAACCAATAAACTATAATAACGTTATACGTAGATATTATAATTTATAAATATTTACGTAAAGGTATATGGAATATGAGATTTATATGGCGTATTACTCATAATAATAATATTTAATAAAAAAATACGCTTAAGTGAAAATAATTTTTTTTTTATTGAACATATTTGACATCAACAGCAAAGGTTAATAGTCACAATTAGTATACACAATTTTTTTTTTTAAATTTGAGAATCGATGGTGTCCAACGTGATAGGTACGTTTGGATTTCTTCGTTCATTCATAAATTTGCGGCATTCTGTGATTATGTGGCAGACAATTAGTTCAATTCCACAAGAAATGCACAGCGCTTATTCTCCCTTTTTCATGAGGTGTCCATGTGTAAGACGGGTGTGGCCGATGTGGAGTCTGTTATGATTGTCTTATCCCTTCTATTCAGGGAGAAATTAGGCCAGCTGAAGTTTGTGTTTTTTATTCGTCTTAGTTTAGTGTTCTGATTAAGCCAGTGCGTTTGCCATCTAAGAAGTATGCGTTCCTTGATTTGGTCTTTTAAATCTGCATAATATGTTGTAATGTTTAGCTTTTGGACGTCTGAAGATTTTGTTGCTTTCTTTGGATTTTCGTCTGCCTTTAATATTACTGTACCCAGAGATCCAGATGAGGAATATGTTTGAACCTCTGAGTTTTGCTTGGATTATTTTTTCTTGAAATAATTTATTTCATAAAATATATACTAATAAGTCATTATTTTATATCGGTTTTAATTTGTATTTTTCTTATTTAATTCTATGGTTACCCATAATCGAAGGCTGAAAATATTTACACTGAGTAAAAATAGATTTATACTACGCAAATATTCTAGATTAGATAATTTGTATATTATTCTTGGTTTTTTTTTTT